TCTACCTTCTAGCCTCATGTACTTTCTTTTTGTGCTTTCTAAACTGTCAAACTCATTGCTATCTCAGATCTTTTGGTATTAGAATTTCTGCCCTGTAGTTCACTCCCTCAGTTTGCTCCAATGGCTGGCTTATCCTCTGGACGAAACACACCCCGTTTACTTACACCATGGCTGTAATTCTGTGGTTACTTGTATGTCTTCCTCATCAGACTAAGCTCCATGAGATCAGGACAATTGGACATTGATAGTTATTAAGTGAAGGGGAGGAGAGTGGGGAAGAAGACAGGTCCTAAGGAATCCGAGCATTTCTGGTGGAGAGGGAGCCATCAAGGAAGTCCCCATTGGAAAATAGGCATCTTATACACAGGATTTTTGAAGATGGCAAGAAGGGCAAAAACAACTTTCTGGCAATTCTTGTCATTAACCAGTGCCACAGGTTGAACCCACTGTCCTCATCCTTCCCTTTACCTTGGAATGTAGCAAGCCATAGTTCCTGCATATGAGCTTAAAAAAAAAAAAGACATAGCATGGCTACCTCTTGTTTTTGTCTGCCCAGTACCCCATCTAACATAGGATCAGAGCCAAGAGATGGAGAAGCACTAGAGCCCTTGATTCAGTCATCTCCAAGGCCTACTCCACCACTGCCTTCCCACAGTATATGAGGACAAATAAACATACTCCCTTAATATACTAGGGGCTATGCTAGGGTGTTTTCATTATTTCTTTTTATTCTCAGCAATCCTGTGAAATAGTGGGCATTAGCCTCATTTTATGTAAGTGTAAACTGATTCTCAAAGCAGTGAAATAATTCCAGCTAAGTTTGAATCCAGTCTGTGCTCTTTTTTCCACTACCCCATGTAATTAATAGAACTTAATGTTGGTATTTTTAGGAGAGCAGGCTTTTCTCTTACTGTAAATTTGCTCACAGTCTCTTTCCATAGATAGTTATCTGAAGGCTACAATCCAGGAGTGACAGATTTCTGGCCCGTGGACCACTTTGACCCACAGATATGTTTGGCTGGCCAGCCAAACTTAAAATTTAATGCGTGTAGCATGTGCTTCCCAGTTGTCAAACGTTCCTGCCTCTTACTGTCTTCACCAAACCTCTTCTAGCACATGGCTTGCTACCCCTCAAGCCTCAATCCTGGCCCGAGCCTCTGTGTCTGTTCAGGCTTCACTTCTTGTCTGTGGAGTAGCTGACCAGAACTCCACCTGTCCATCTGGGGATTAGATCATGCCTTTTCCTCCAGTATCCCGTGATGATTTTGTGAGCAAATACTGTTGCTTAAGAGTTGCCTTTGATTTCTTTTGGGTTTGTCCGATTTAGACCCCGTCCCTACCTCATGAAGCCAAGTGCCCTAGGGAAGCTGCCACACAGACATATGTTCTCTTATGTGTTCCAAGCCAAGGATTTCTGGTTGTCGAGTTTTTAGCTACTACCTTAACAGTGGCCCAAGTCACTATAAGTCAGATTCAACTTTAATCTGATCGTTTTAAGCTCTCCCAGCAATTTAGCAGAGCATGGGCAACTGCTTTGCTTCAGATCTTTATGCTTCATAGTAACTGTGTTCTTAAGCAAGTTATTTGATGTTTCAGTTTTCTCGTCTGTAAAATGGCAGTAATAGTCCCTATATATTAATGTGGTTATGAGGATTAGAAATATGTAAAGTGTTCAGAATAGCAACTGGTAAATAATGAGCACTCGATACTAGCTATTTTTTCCCACCCAGAACATATATATAGTGTCTGGTGTTCAGAAGTGTTTGTTAATGATGTGAAGAAAAACAAGAAAACCCAGTCCTGTCATTTGTGAGGTATTAGCTGTGACATGTCTGATTAAACTTGAATGTCAACTTTTAGAAGTCCATTGTGACCTTCAATAATTGTCTTCACAAAGGAAGGGCTCTATTACATTTTGTCATTTGATAGTTGGCTTTGTACAGTGGAGGCAATTCATAGATTGCTAAATTAGGAATGAATTTTCCAAGCCCCCAAATGCAGCTCCTTGTTTGTGGACTTACCCTGTTGGGCAGTAATGAGCTTTGCACCAGATTTCCCAGGAGTTGTGCTAACCCGAGCATAATGACACTTTCCAACATTGGAAACTGCATCTGGGGACGGGAGTGAGAAGTGCCCATTGGCTGCATGGTTTTTGAAATCCAGGCACCTCTCATTATTACTGAACTAGTGTGATGGTGCCAAGGACATAGGAAACAGTTACTGAAAAAGCACACTGTGAAGCTTTAATTTTGAGGCAAACAAGGATAAGTTGTCTGTTCTCGGTCATTTTAGAAGTAAATTTGGGAGTAACTCGAGAAAAGTGTCTTTAGACTTTATTCCTTTGTTGAACAGTTCTAGTACTTACAGGCTAGGGCTTTCTAAAAACCTCCTGGTGCTATTGATCAGTTGCTGGGAGTCTCCCACCGGGACCTCAGCCAAGTCTTGGGGTGGTGTTGGCCTTTGAGGGTCCTGGCTTTGCTCTCAGGTCATGCTTTTGCTGTGAATGACCATAGCTGTTTTGGAAGCACTCCGGTTCTGACTTGAGAGATAAGGAATAGGGAATCCTGCCAACACGTGGGAGAACTGATAGGGACCGGCACACTGCCGAAAGCCCCAAGGGCCTGTGACCAGTGAGAGGCAGAAGTAGACTTTCCGTTGTCAAGGGCCTGTTCAGGTCATGTTACATAGTTGCCACTTCCTGACAACTGAGTTCCTGTGTGTGGCACAGGGTATATAGACTTGCCCCAAATGAGGATTATTTGCTCTGTGGGTATCCTGGGCTCCTGTCGAGGCCCCAGGTTTGAGGAAGCCTGTAATTTCTGGTTGAGTAGATTGGTAACACAAGGCTTTGGCAAAAAGTAGAGTTGTGTATCTGTTGCCGCATTTTGGAGATGAAAACCCACCAACAGACTTAACCAGAGTGAGAATCAGACTGTCCACAGCAGGAAAGAATATAATCTGGCCCAAGCTGTTAATTTTCAGGAGGTCTATGACTTTCCCAAGGTTACTCTCAAAATCAAGAGCAAAGCAGGGATGAGAATTGAAGTCTCCTTATTTCTAGGCCAAAACTCCCTACCTGATCAGCTCCCTATCCAGGGCAGATGTGCTGGAAAGATCTGTAAGAGAAGTAACCAGAAATGGCTCGAAGCAGACAGTGAGAAGCTCGTAACAGAATTTTCACCTTCAAAGGCCTCTGCACAAGGATAAGTGGTGTCAGACACCCTGCGTGTTCACCCTCCACCCTCCCTCACATGCATGTTTTTCATAGACTATCTCAAGCTGCAGATGGGATAAAGGAGACAAAGCCCACTGATTTCTCTTATCAGCCAGACTGCAGCCAGGGCAACAGACAGAGGTAAAGGTGATCTGGGCTAATTAATGAAGCCCAGCAAGAAAGAAGCAACAAATACAAGGAAACCATCTGGCATAAATTTTTAAAATGCAAGCAAAAGCACCTAAAATAAATGTTGAAATAAAAGGGCTTTTTAAATAAACTATTTTGCAAATTATGTTTGGTATCCTATGTCTAGTGCTGCTTTTATACAGCAATAGGTAGGGTTAGAACCTACCTATTGTGGGGGAGCTACAGAAAGCTGTCCTCTCAGCAGCCTGCCCGTAGTCACCCTCTCACCCCTGCCCTGCCCAACAACCTAGAAACAGGCTGGTCTCCCAGCATCCAGGCTTTGGAGGAGATAGAGCTTGCAGAGGACTGCTCTATAGAGATTAGTCTTTTGTCTAGTCCTAACAGAATGAGAAAAAATTTTTCACAGCATCTCTGCTGACAGTTTGCTTTCTTTCCCTAATGATAATATGCCTTACCTAAAACCCATCCACTATCTGTCAGAGGAAGCTGGTTGACTGTATGTTAGTAGATTAACCCACCCAGCCACTGGCAAGCTGCTCAGGAGTGTTTGTTAAATACAACAGTGCTGAAAGATTGGAAAGTTGTCTGTGGTCCTTCCCTTACAGAAATTGCATTCATGTTCTTTAGTGACCTGTTCACAGATGAACATTTTTACTGTGTACATGAGTTTTCTGTGGAAATGGTTAAATTGAAGTATGCTGTCATGAGATTCTGAATGCTAAAACTTGGTCACTGAACTTGAGTTCTCATTCTAACAGTCCCAGAAGTTGCCAGTACAGGTGGTTTTAGGGACCAGAAGGGTAATAATATAAGTGTTTGAAGACACCTGTGCTCAGCTCCAAGTGATTGTTGCCTTGTTGCTTATAGTAATAAGGCACAAGGTTGCTGGATCTTTTTTTTTTTTTAATAAGAGGCTAGAAACAAGATTTGTGAAATCTCCCCATCTTTAAATGTTGGTGACTTATTCTAAAAATTTTAGAGTATCATATTATCTAAATAAAACAGGTTTCTGATCCAGACTTTCTGCCCTAAGAATTCAGGCAACACATATTTTACTGAAATCGATGTTGCATGATCTCTTTTAAGTATGTAAGTTTTATTACTTAAATATCTATTTTCTCTTAACTAAAAAGTTTAAAACATATACAGTAGGCCAAGAATAACCAGAAAAATGCTGTCAGTAAGTAAGTGTACTTCAGAGTGAAGTACAGAAGATTTCAGATTACTCCCAGTGGTTTCAGTTTGAGAACCACCCCTCCCTGCAAACTTCTTGGCACAGAAGGAGCCACACAGCTCCCTGTCCGTCCCAGCATCCCCGCTCCTGACTGGTGGAGACTGATTTTTTCCTGCAGATCCACCCAAATGAAAATTATCTCACTAAAAAGATATGTTTGATTTTTTTAAAATTGGGAAGATACAAAGGGAGTTAAAATGAAGTGTAAGGAGTAAGACAGGGGGTGTCTTTGTGCAGCCCCCAGAAGTTTTGAAGCCTGAGGTGCAGACCCTCCTGGGGTCCTTCCAGCCCCGGTAGCTGAGACCTTGCTGAAGTTTGAAAAGCAGTTTCACCTTTGGCATCATACAGATTTACCTCCAGATCAGTAAGGATTAAAGCAAAGATATACAGGTGGTTGGTTGGTGGTTTTTAAAAAAGCCAACTATGATCCCATCATTGTATTTCTAAGGAAAATGTAAACTGCACGTACATTCTCTTAAACATCACAGTGAAAAACAAGTACCCGTATATGTGATAGGGCAGGCAGAGGGCTCCACCTGCTCTGTCCTTGGCAAAGGACCTTGGCCACACTGGTGAAAATGCCAGCTTGGCTTCTTCACGGATACTCAGGTCATGCCATCTCACTGGAGCACCGGTGGACCCCGAAGGCAGGGCAGGGCGAGGGGATCAGTTTTGAAATGTTTCCAGGAGCTCTGTTCAGCTGTCTCTGTCTTCCAGCTTGGGAGTGCTGCACAAAACTACAAGGACACTGAGGAGACCATGGTTCTATTGCCATTCTCTAGAGAAGACTTGGCTTGGAGTGTGGCTGCCTGGATTCGAAAATGTGTCCTTGACTCCATGGAGTAATTCTTGTAGTTTTGCCTGGAAGACACCCGAGAATCAGACACATGAGGCTGCTGCAGTGTGAGCTGTGGGAGCCCACTAGCCAAGGAAGAGCTGCAGAGGTTTAAATCCCTATCCATCTAAAAGAGTGTTGGGCCTGCCCAGTAGGGATTAGCAGCAAGGCTGTGTATCTCCTCACCCAGATATCATGCCCTCAGGAGCTGCTCTTGGTCCTGACGGGTCCCCAAGCTTAAGTTTTCAAGAGGTAGCTCTATGGGCTAGAAGGCAGGAAGGAGATCTGAAGCTTCACACAGCCTTGTGGCTGACTTGTGTGTGACATTGGGTAACTCACTCCCTACTTGTGGGACTCCAATTCCTCACTGGTAAATTGAGGAAGTCTTTGCATGCTAGGTGAGAACTGGGTTCCCAGGGACACAGGTCCACCCTCGAGACTATCATCTTGCGTAGCCCACAACCTCCCTCACTGATGCCTGGGCTAATCTAGCCTTACTTGGCAGTTTCCAAGAGTTTGACAGCCTCTTCATTTCTGCCTTGCTCCATGAACAGCAGGGCCAGCTCCAGCAGGGCATTTGGGATCAGGTAGTGGTCATATTTGATCTTCTTCTCACTGTGAGACAGAGGAGGACATTGTTTATAGGCCCTGCCCTTGAGACGCCCTTCAGGCTCCTCCAGAGCCTTCTCCAAGTGAAAGGATCCAACCCATGCCCTCAAGTGGCGTTTCCAGCTCTGAGTTACAATTTAGGAGGGTTCCCACTGCCTAGCCCTACAAAGGCTTAGGATCCACAGCAGAGCCTTCCAGGCCTCTGCACCTGGGACCCAACTTCCTAACAACCTATGGCTCTTGTCATATCCTTAGCCTATTCCCACCTGAGTCCCCTACCTGCTTTTCCCAAGTTGAATGATTAATTATATTGGGAAGTGTCCTGTCTCCAATTTGGTCCCTTTAGCCTACCCACCATGCTGCCCCAGAAACACCCTTTTCACTGGGCAGGGCAGGGCAGGGCAGGGCAGGACCCAGACCTGCCCTGTCTGGTATCTTTCCTGGCTCTTTTCTGTCTGCAGGATGAATTTCAGTCTTCTAGAAAGACAGCCAGGCCCTTTGCAGTGGAACCCTTCCCCCCACCTTTTGTCTGCAGCTCTTTCCCTCTATAGTTTCACACAGGCAGGGAGAGCCTAATCACTGTCCCTCCAGCCTCAGGTGTCTGTGTGCCCGAGCATTTGCACATGCTGTAACCTACTCCACTTAAAACTCCTCCATTGCTTTCTCTGCCTGATAAACTTCGCAATTTAAACGGCATACTTGGAAAGCCTTTCCTGGTATCCTGCGTTGGGTTTAGGGTCCTCCTCAGGACACCTGCTATCTTCTGTGCTTCTCTCTAGCACAGCCCTGATCTTACCAGATTGAGCTGCCTGTAGCTATCTGTCTGGAACGTTTGTGATCCCCAAGGGCAAGGGCAGAGTTGGTGAATTACAAACTTCAGGGGGCACCATTCACAGGGAACTTAGTGTGGATGGGCTCCTGTAGTTAAGCAATCTGGTGGCCCTCGGGGATGAGGTCTTAATGATCAGCGCCCAGCACGTGTCCTGGCACAGAGTAGACACTATGCACGGTGCATAGAGGTAGGGCCATGTGCTGGAGTGAGTGCACATGAGGGGAAAACGTGTGAAAATTCTATCCAAGAGAACCTCACCCAGCAGTAGGTCATGCAGATCGGAAGCAGCCAGAGGCACTTACTTGGCAGTGATGCTCCTAAAATTCTCCTCAGCCTCCTGGACACGGCCCAGGTATTTCAGACACAGGCCTTTCAGCAACTTCACTAAACACTCATCATCCACTGAGTACTCATTTTCTGAGAACAGGGCAGTGAGAGAAGAAAATAGGCTTGATCATTGCTGGGCCCTGGGAACACAGAGGTAATTTACACATGAGGTAATTTACCCCTATCCTCAGGGAACTCACACTGGGAAGGAAAGACATACTGAGACGACGACAAAAGAGTGAAATCAAGGCTGAGAGAAGGAAGCCCAGGGGCTGTGAGAGCCCATGGGAGGCCTTGACTCTACCTGGGGGACAGGGGATAGCTTCTTGGAGGAGCTGTCCTTGAAGCTCACTCTAGAAAGGCAAAGGTCAGTTGCCAGGGTAGAGAAGTAAGAAAGCAGAGGAAGTTTCAACTGAAAGTCCTGTGGTCTGACCCAGCCTGGTAGGTTCAAGGGCCTGGGGTAGTCACCTGGCCCCTTTTCCAGCATCTCTTCAGCCTTGGTGATAATCTCAAGTATCCCGTCTGTGAGTTCTGGCTGCTTCCCAATCACAGCGTAGCCATTCCAAATGTACATCATTTCCTGAGGGCAGGGGAGCAAGTCAGTCAGGTTTCCTCAGCGGAACCTCAGTTTCCCTAGCTGTAAAATGGGCATCTCAGACCAGAGGATCACGAAAAGCCCTTCTAAACTCCTAAGTTTGGGGGAAATAATTTGTTTAGAACAGTGTTATCCAATATATTTAATCACAGAAATCACTTTATGCATAAATGGCATTTGATTATAGGTTAGGAAATTCTCCCCTAAATTTTTTGTATAGGTACTTCCCCTGCCCTTCCTTACAGCACCACCTCCAATTTTATAATAGCTTTATTTTATAAAATATTTTAAAAAGTTGTTTAGAGATATTCAGGATACAAGTTCTAAATAAATTCTATACATATTGAACGTTTTGGCCTTGGCCAGGTTGCTCATCCCAATGCATGAAGGTTGTAGGTTCAATCCCCAGTCAGGGCACATAAAAGAAGGAACCAATGAATGCATAAATAAGTGGAACAACAAATCAATCTCAAATAAATTTTTTTTAAAATGTCGAACTTTTTCATTTATGAATTATTTAACGCATTTTAACAGCTGATTCTCATAACTGTACTATGAAATGGGCAATTATATATTATCCCATTTTCCATTAAAGCCACACAATTAGTGAACGGTAGAACCAGAACCAATGAAAGGTCTCTGAAGACCCTTTCTACTTTTCTGGCTGTCTTACCATTTGAATAACAAGGACTCCTAACAAACTGGAACCTTCTCTGATGCCTGCTAAAATCATGCCTGGAATGAGCATCATAACAGTGGTTCAGAATATGGTCTCTGGAACCAGACTATCTGAGTTCAAATTCTGACTCTTAACTCACTAGCTGTGCAACCTGGAAAAATTATTTTATCTTGCTACTTCTATCACTTAACCTAGTAGGGCTTTGTATCCCTGTCTGTAAAATGGGGCTACCACTGGCACCTACTCAGAGGGTTATTGCGAGGATCAAATGAGGCCATAGGCGATGGGTATAAGTAACCTTGAACACGGCAGGTGCCCAGTAACAATGTCAGCTATTCCTATTGTTTCAGAGTGGAATATTACAGCGTCCCAGGCCTCAGCAAAGCGAGATCCAGTGAAGGGAACAGTGTAAACAACAACTACAATTATGTGACAAGACAAACAATCAGGGTAGAAACACAAACAGCTGAGTGGTGCCTCTGCCTGGGGACAGGCACATGGAGCAGTCTAGGAGGGGCTGCTCTTTCTGCCATCAGGTGTCTGAAGTCTGCTCTTTTGTCTCCTTACTCCCAGCCCCACACCCAGCAGGCCAGCACTCTCTCAGAGGCAAGGGCCAGCCAGACTCATCTGCCCTTCCCCCAGTCCCAGGTGAATTGTGAAATCCTCTTCAGGCCCTGGAGGCACAAAGGTCTTTCTCCCTCATCCACTTCCCCTGGGTCCATGGTTGTACCCCCGGGTCTCAGCTGATCCCCACAATTCCAAACTGGAGTGCAGAGCCAGTCACGAGCCTCTGACCCACCAGAGCAGGGATTGGTAAAGAGACAGGTTTGGGGGAGAGGTATCGCCTGGACTTCCGGATGGCAAACTTCTCCGTGGGTAGAGATTTCCCAGCAATCTTGAGTTTCAGGCCTGGCACAGCTCTGCAAGAGATGAGGGGGGAGGGGCGGGGAAGGCAGGCAGGGTGAGAAAAAGCAGGAGAGAACTGAGAGTCCCCCAACTGCCCAGTGTCCGCTTGGCACCTCTCTGCGCTTCAGTTTCCTCATCTGTGTGACGAAATAGTATTGGATTCATAATGGCCGTATTTCACAGGCCCTGTCCCAAGACCTGACCACTTCCTGTGGCTAGGCAAGGGGTTCCTCCTCACCAGCTGGCAGAAGTGACGCCCCAGCCTGCCCTGCCTTCTAGCTATCCCCTCCACTCTCAGGCCCCACTTCTGGAGGGCCCAGTGGAAGTCTGACCCCATTTCACAGGGGAGATGAGCATCCAGAGAAAGGGAGGGGCCTGCCCAAGACCTCACAGCTTGAACCTTTAATTAACTCTTGCTGTGGGAGTTGGGGCCTCCTCAGCTGTTTCCAGGAGCAGAATAAAATGTGGTATGCAGCTAGGCAAGCCTCCACCACTGGGGCCTCACCCACCCAGCTCCATCCCACTCTCCGATTTCCCCCACATTCACAGGGTGTGGCTGTGACCCTCAAGCCTGAGCCGCCCAAGCCCAGGAAACAGCTGGACCTAGTTGTGAGGTCCTCCCCACCAGACCCCTCCCCTGCCTGTTCACTGTGGAACTTCTCGGGGCCTGTTTTCTCATTTCTAAAATGGAGAGAATGACGTGAAGGGGGGCAGAATTTGTCACCCCACGACATGACCCCTTGGCATAAAGATTATTTTAGGCAGGTTATTTTTAAGAAATAGCAGACATAGGAGAAACTCCTGAAAACCTAGAAGTTACCTTTTGTGAGAGACGTTTACATTTATAAGGGAAATACCATCTGTACAGGTGTATCACCACCCTCTCTGTAACAGGGATAGGAGGGTGACTCTCCAGAAACTTACCAATAGAGAAAGTAGAGACTTGATCGGCACAACAATCAAACCCTCTACTGTGCTTTGAAAACCTCCCATAACTGGCTCCCCAGCCAAGTCATCTTTTGTCTTCAGTTGGAGATGGTATTTAAGGTGATGGCTTGGGCCATTTCAGAGAATTACTCAGTTTTCCTGTATAAAGTCTCCCATGTCTCAGTCTCCCATGTATAAAGGAGGCATACATGTTATTAAACTTCTCTTTGTTTTTGTCCTGTTAATCTGTCTTTTATAACAGGGAGGGGGACTCAGCTTAAAACGTAGAAGAATAGAGGGAAAATTATTGTCCTCCCCCACAGATACTCACCCTTTGAGGCTTTCTGGGAGAGTTGCGGGAGATGGAGAAACAGAGGCACTCAGTAGATTATAAGCGCTCTATGACTAAGACGCTGGTAGACGCCGGGGGAAGCTCGGGTTACCCCCACCTCAAGGCCAGCCCTCACCACACCTGGAGGAAGGTCCGCCACGCTCAACCTGCCAAGGCTGAGCCCTGCGCTAGAGCCTTAGCAAAGGCAAACATGGCAGGCCGGCCTTACAGATAAGAGTAAAAACAGCCTTTACTGGCTCCGGGCTCTATAAATATATCCTCTATTTGATTTGCAAAACAATGCCTTGCAGGCAGAGGTTATTCCCATTTTATAGATGCTGAAAGTGTTCAAGGTGACACAGCTAAGGAATGGCAGAGGCTGGATTTAATCCTATTTATTTGATCCGACTCTGGCTCTCTACTGTGTTTCTCTGAGTGTATCAGGTTAACCCAGCAAGCAGAACAGACCTCTCTAGACCTCGGTGTCCACATCTGTCCTCCTGACCCGATGAAAGAGGCTCAACGGAAAGGGCATTGACAAAACCACTTTGATGAAAGCAAGCCTCTGAACAGATACAAAGGGTTCCAAAAGCAGCAGGAGGAGAATGTGGTGATGGAAGGGCATGGCGGGCTGTGGCACAATCCTCGGGGAGGGCCAGGGGCAATGACCACCCCAGCACCTCGTGCCCGGTGCCCTGGACAGAGCCTGGCTGAGGCCTGCAATGGGGGTGCCGTGGTAGGGCTCACCTAAACAACTCCACTTCGTCATCCCCAAACGGCTTGTAGTCGTCCTTCCCAAACATGCTGAGGTAGGCAGCTTTCATGTAGATGTAGGTAGCCTGTGAGAGGCAGAGTCAGGTGTGAGGAACCCGATCACGACTGAAGACCGCGCAGGTGAGGCCCAGCAGTGGAGGCCGGCCCAACTGCATGCCACATTTTACTCTGCCCTTGGAAACAGCTGAGGAGGCCCCAGCTCCCGTGGCAACTCACTGGGAACTCATTTGGCGCAAATACCTCATTTAGCAGCTAACATTATCCCCAAGCCCCAGGGGAGAAACTGAGGGAGCTGAAGCAACTTGAGGACTTGAGCTGGGAGTTAAATCCAGGACGGGGCCCACGTCAAAGCAGCTGCTACCCTCCCCACTGTGAAGCAACGGAGAGAACAGCTCCAGCAACCAGCGGATTCACGGGCAGTGCTGAGGCTAGGACGGAGACACGAAGGCAGGGCAGGCAGCAAGGGCTTCTGGGAAGCAGTTACTTCAGACTGGGCCCTTGAAGGCCAACTGGGAGATTCACAGAAACCCTGAGAATGGACCTTCGGGGCGAGGGGAACAGCCTGAGCAGAGCCTGTGTATAGCAAAGATACAAATAGGTAGCATAAAGTATGGGATGCATAAAAGAAGAAGGGTGAGGCCCAAAGAGTGAACATGGCCCTGGGTCATGGCTCAGTTCAGGATCCCTCGGAGGAACTGCCTTACTCTGTGCTAGGCCTTTACATACATCACCTCACTTGACCCCACAGACAATGCCAGAAAGGAATCTGTACCCACCTTCTGCTTCTTAAGAGGGCCTCAGCGCTGCTGGGGGCAGAGCTGGGAGTGACACCATATTTGTGTGGCTTTAAGAGCCTTGTCCACAGGGAGGGAAGGTGCAGCTGTGCAGACTGCCCTTCCTCCTTCCAAAGATCTATCCTGAAAGCTGTGCCCCTTCCCCTTAAAACTCCAGTGCCAGAGGAGCCTGGCTCTGTACTGCCCTCCAGTGGCCGAGCCTTGCACCACAACTCCTGCCACCTGGGGCTGCTGCCAAGGAGCTACCTACCTGCCAGTAGCCCAGAAAGAAGTGTAGTGGGTGGAGGAGGAAAGGAAGCAGGACATCCTGGAGTCTAGTCTCTGGAGAAGGTGGAAAGCAGCCTCTGCCTGGCAGCCCCACCCATGCTGAAGCTCAGGGCTACTCCCAGTTCTCTTCCCTCAGCACCTCAGTCTGCTCTTCACAAAATGAGGAAAAGCTGGTTTTTGTCGGGTGTGGTGGGAAAAATATTTCCCATTGCTAAAGCCTGTTCCCCATCCCATCTTTAACTTCCTGGTGTCACCCATCCCTTCTCCCTCTTCCCCATCCTGGCACTGAGTCACTAAATCCTCATGACTTTACCTCCCATCTAGTTCTTGAGTCCCATTAACTCTGTGGCTCACCTCGTTTATCGCACCAGCCTACACACCGGCCCCCTGCTCCAGGCCGCCAGGGGTCTTCCTACTGCCCTAGACTACACAGCCTCCTACCTGGTCTTCCTGCTCCCACTCCTGTCTCCTGCAAGCCATTTCCCACACCATAGATCTTTTTAAGTCAAATTACATCAGTTTGTCCTTGAAATGTTCTCGTGATATCCCACCACACTTAGGACAAAACCCAAACCCCTCTCACAGACCCCATCCAGTCTCCCCTGGTTTCCTCTCCAATTTCATCTCCGCTGTTTCCGCCCCCTCACATCATTCTAACCACGCTGGCCTCTGGGCTCTGCCCAGAATACCTCAGAGACACCCGGCCTCAGGCAGGGGAGCCCAGCAACTGCAGGGGAGATTTCTTAAAGCCCAAATCTAAGCCACAAGCATCAAGGGCTCATTCCCTGCCAGACTAAAGCCCCAACGGCCACTCGGGGCTCCATGACCTGCTTTTCTGGCTCCTCTTCTTCCAATTATTCCCCGTCACTCTTGAAACTCAGCCCCGGCCTCTGCCTGTGCCTGTCCTCTGCCTAGGAGGTCATCATTCCTTCTCTGCCAGGCTCACCAGTGGCTTCCTCTAAGAGCCTTCTCCTGCTCCCCACTGGACAGCTCACTCCCTTGAGTCAGCAGGAGGAAGGGTGGATGCAGTGACCTGGAGTTGTGACCCCTGTGGACATCCAGTTTTCAAGGAATAATCTGGGGCCACATTGCTGGAAAACAGCAGCCTCCCCCTCTGTGGGAGCCCTGTCTCCCCAGTTATTACGGTTTGCCCATTGATTCCACAGTTTTCTGGATTACTCTGCCAGGGTCTGTGCAGTTAGATCGCCCTTGTCCTCAAGAATCTACAGCGAGTGGCCTAACAGGGATGGTTTCCCTGTAGTCCCCCTTGCACTTCTACCCACAGCCCTTCACCTGGCAACACAGCTTCTTAGCAGCACCAGGGCTTTCAAGCCTTTGTCCTTGCCGCTCTCTTGGCATGGGGTGTCCTTTCGCTTCCTCCACTCTCCACCCTAATTCCTCCTCCTCCATAACTCAGCTCAGATGTCTCCTCTTCCAGAAGCCTCTCTTGTGTTTTCGGCTGGGCTGCCCAGTGCTGCCTGAGCTCTGTTTCCCTTGTTACAGCGCTGAATACACAGGTGTCGCCACCCAGATACCAGCCATCTCAAACCAAGGGAAACAGGGAGCTGTGCAGCAGGGGTGTGGGGTCCAGGCAGAGGGAGATGCCATAGCCACAGGCCAAGTCCCTAGAGCTGAAAGTTGGTGGACTCTGAAGTGGCCAAGGACTGGACATTAGGAATAAATGAAGCCCCAGAACTCAGGGCGCTACAACCCCCACTTTCACAGGAAACCCTTCTGAAGAAGGGGCTAGAGAGAGGGTCGCTGACCACCCCAAAGTCACACGGAGAGCTGGAGACTGAGCTGACTCATGGGGAGACTGCCTGCCTCTGCTGCGCACAGCAGCTGTGTGCACACCCCCACACCTCTTCCCTACGTGGGTGGACCCAGCTGCCCGGCCTACACCATGGGAAGGCTTCTGGGTCACTGGTTCAAAAAGGTTCCCCAAGCCTGTGCTCTTGCTGAGAGTGGGAAGTGAAGAAGAATGAATGCCAGGCCCACAGGGAGCACCTCTAACAGCGGGGTGGCCTCAGGGCAAGCTGGAAAAAGCAGAGGCCTTTGTGAGTCACACAGGGCTGTCTGCAAATCCAGAGTCGGCACCAGCAGCAATGTGGGCGAGGAAAGTCACACACCTTCTCTTAGCCTCAGTGGCCCTGGTGCGCCCAGTGGAGATAACCTCCACCTCATTGGATGCAGTGTGGAGGAAATGGTGAGTGCTGGGCATGGGCCGAGAGCTCAGTAACAGCCTGCTCTTCCCCCAGCCCCACCTGCCCAGACCTGGAGAAATCCCTTTCAGCCTGGTCCCCAGGCAGGGTCCTGGAAAAGGACTTCTACACAGAGGTGGGGAAGGATGAGAAATGGGGACTTAAACTCACTGAGACACAGTGCTGTGTATTTGCCAGCGCCAGACTGGATGCTCTCTGGTGACCTAAATGATTCTTAAACTCTGTTCAGAATTTTGTGCTGTCATTACCACGATAATAATGGCTAATACTTATTTCACTACTTATCTTGATGCTGTAAGTTTTCTCCTATAGTAGGCACCTGTTTTGCTTTGTTTTGCCTACATGGCATCTCTTTAATGCCTCCCCATGCTACTTCTTTTGGGGATATCACCTCATTTTTCTTCTAGGGAATCACCCCTCTTCTACTCCCTGTCCCTCAGTCCTCCCACCCCTCTGTTTGCAGGCACTGACATGCAGTCTTTGCCAGACCAAGAAGGCTCAAGTCATGGGGCTGCAGCTGAAACCAAAGGGAAGATGCGAGTTTGGGGCAGGCAAGCCATGGCCACCCTTCCTGTCACATGGAGAGGACCGGCCTACACAACCAAGATGTCATAGAGCAGAGCACAGCCACACATGGAAAAACCAAGCCCAGATGACATAATTGGAATTCCTGGATCCAACCCTACCTGAAGTCAGTTTGCCTAGAATTCTCTGCTGTATGAACTAATGAGCTTTGTGTGTTTTAGACCCACACAGTCCAATACAGTGGCCACTAGCCCATGTGACTTTTAAATTTAAACATGACTTAAAAATAAAATGAAAAACATCCAGTCTCCCTAGGAATATTTCGAGTGCTCGGTATGTACATGCGGCTGGCGGCTCCCACCGTGGGCGATGCAGGAATAGAACATTTCCACCACAGCCGAATGTGCCGCCGGCCAGCACTCGCCTGCAGTGTGAGCCACGTTTCCGTCCCTTGTGACTAAAAATTTTGACTGACACATTACAGGCCTGAAGTTTCTCTGTTCCTCGTGGTCTTTAGTCCCTCCCAGCCCTGCATCCTATTAGAAGTTATGGTTCTGTTTAAGTTCCAGTGGAGACACCTGTCAGGGGCTTGGTCCTTGGTCTGGGGGCACATGGCTAATCTGGGTTGGCCTGGCCCCCCAGGGTCCCCCAGCACTGGGTATGAGCCCACCTTGGACCAGGAGTTCTCCTTGCTGAGCAGGTCGGCATAGAAGTAGGCCATCTTCCACTGGCCCTTGTAGGTGAAGCACCACATCAGCTCCCAGTAGCACATGTGGTGGAACTGCTTCCAGTGCTGCTGGGCCTCGCAGCACTCCTCAAACCGCCGGATAGCCTGTGGGCACCTGCTGGTCAGTCATGGCGGGCACTCCGGCCCTCGCCCACTCCGCTCTCTGCACCCCCCCCTGCACCCACCCGACTCCACTGCAGGCCCAGCCTCCTCCAGCAACAGTGGCCCGGCCCCCTGCCGGCAGACTGGCTTTGGTCCTGATCGTCCCCCCTCAGTCTCACATGACCTTAGACCCAGTTGCTGCCCCTTTCTGGGGCTCTAGTCTTCAGGTCACAAAGTGAAAGGACAGGACAGAGCTATATTGGAGGGATTACAGGCAGTGGACGATGTTCAAATGAAAGTGATGTAACGATGCCTGTGCCTCACAGCAAACTCCAAAGGTTTCTATAGCTCCTGTGAAGTGACCTGGACCAGGGGCATCTGTCCCGATGTCTGAGGAATCACAGCCAGAGCCAGCGGGAGACCCCAGAACCCGACACTGCAGAGTCCGTCCAGGCCTTGGCTTCGTGCTGGGGTCTCCAGCAGGACTGCGATCTCCCCTCTGTAGCCCCTTCAGTGGTTCCCTCCCCGCGGTGGAGCCCTGCACTCACCAGTTTCCAGCCTATCACCACACCCTGAATAAGTGTGTCTTCTCATGCCCCTGCCTTCCTCCAGCACCTCCCTGTCCAGGAATGCCCGGGTCCTGATCTCCCTGTCAAAATCCTACCCCACAAATGCCACCACTTCCCTCAGCTTCCCAGATTGCCTTGGAAGTACCTCTCCCACTCCTGCTCGCCTGTTCGTTCTCCCTTGGGGCCTCTTCCCAGTGGGCCCTGGCACTGAATATATTATCTCTGTGTGTCTGACTTCCTGCTGGCCCGCAAGCCCCCCAGGGGTCCTTGGTACCAGTCTGTACCCCATTACTCACTGCGTCAACGTTGCCTTTAATGGCTTCAATCCTTCCCGCGAAGAACAGGAAGATGGCGCCCTGCAAACACACACATGTGGGCCTGGGGGGGAGGGGCATGGGGCACACATGCGCTGGGGCACCTGTCAGGAGGTAGAGCTCACCTTAGGGTATCGCTTCAGGTAGGGCTTCAAGAGCCTCTCTGCCTCCTCGATGTTGACGTTCCCAGTGCCTGAAGGGGCGGGGGGGCACAACGCATGTCACCACCACCACTGGCCCCGGTGCTGCTCCCAGCACCTGGTTTCCCCTCTGGGAAATGGTGATAATATATTCTCTCTCCACAGTGATGTGAGGGTTAAATGAGACAGTGCAGAAGTCACATCACAGGTCTCAATAGCCAAGAGTCAGTGCCCACCAAGGGCTGTGTCCAGAACCCCGAGGAGCTGCCTCCAGTGTCCTCACGCCCTCTCCATGGTGGGCGTGAGCATCCCCATTTCACAGATGAGAACACAGAGGCCAGACCCCAGTCAAACTATGAGGAAGGGAGTGGTCAGGGGCCAGGCCAGTTGATGTGGCTGTTCTTTGTGGTTTCAGGGCCCCATCCCCAGGCTCAGGGGTCCCTTCAGGGTGTGTAGCCCTTCACCCTCCTGACCCCTACCCTTAGAGCCAACCATTCCCCAGAGGCCCCCCACACGGGCCCCAAGGGCCCTCCTACCGAGCACAAAGGTGAGGAAGGTGTGGTAGCACAGCAGCAGCATGACGCAGAGCACGGCCCGGAAGCTGTGCCCTGAGGCACCCTCCTTCAGCTGCAGCAGCCCATAGTCCTGGGGGACAAGGGGACAGGCTGAGGCCAGCAAGGCCCAGGCTCCCCAGGGTCCAGCCTGGGACCCAAGGAGAAGCAGGGGCCTGGAGGTTCCTGCACAGCTGTGAGGGCTGCTGCTGGAGCTGGGGGAGGGTGGGAGAGCGCTAGACCCAGGAGGCTGGCTCAGCTGCTCCCAGGCTGTGCAACCCTGGACAAGTTGTTGCCCCTCTCTGAGTCTTAGCAGCCCTCCTGGGGACAGCGTACACCACTGCCAAGGCCACCTCTTCGACAGTGCCTCACCCATTCCTCCCTTCATTGGCCTACTTGGCCTGTGGTGGGTGCTGAGGCCCTGAGCAGCCCCAGGTCTGATAAGGGCAAGAGGAATGACAAGGAGGCAGATGATCTTAACCACAGACCCAGGGCACAGACGGGACCACAAGGACTGTGGTCTGGGAAGGCTTCCTGGAGGAGAAGGCTCTAGAGCCTGACTGGGGAGGAGCAAGAGGCCAGACCCCACTTGTATCCCTGTCTGCAGCCTCTGCCTCTCAGTCTGCCCTCCAGGGTGCTCTTGTTCTTTGTGACACACAAACCTGACGGGCCTCACCCCTGCCTCAGACCCTGCAGGACCCCCTTGCTTTCAGGAGGAAGACAGAGCTGGCGCTGTGCTGGGGGTCTCCCCATTCTGGCCTGGTCATCCTCTCTTCCTGGCCAGGCAGCCACACCATCCCACCTCTTGGCCTTTCTCGTGCTCTTCCCTCCCATCATCATCCCGAAAGCCTACTCCTGACCCAAGGGCCTTCTTAAGAAAGCAAAATGGAAAGGGACCCTCAGAGCCTCCAGTGAGTGTTCCCCCACCTGGGCCATGGACCACAGGTGGCAACCGAGGTGTCAGAGGTGCTCCAGCAGGTGAGGAAGCGGAGAGTCCCATACCAGGGTCTTCCCTTCTCAGTTCTCGGTCTGTCCGTCTGATGGCGGCCGGGGAACCCAGGCCTGCGCTGGTGTGTGCTCCACATCGCGCTCGCCCTGGACTCCCTTTCTCAGCCAGCCTCCGCAGACCACACAACCCAGCTGGGCTTTCGTAAGACTGTTTGAGCCTTATAGGATTTATTGTTATGGTTATGCTCGTATCATACCAAATAATATAGGTGTTCTGTGTAGCATGTTTAAATAAATTTAAGTAAAAATTTCTAGCCACTTTTAAGAACAATAATGTATAAGTAGTAACAATATAGAGGCCCACTGATATGTCATGTCAAAAATCAACAAGGGCCCTGGCTGGCGTAGCTCAGTGGATTGAGCACAGGCTGCGAACCAAAGTATCGCAGGTTCAATTCCCAGTCAGGGCACATAACTGGGTTGCAGGCCACAGTCCCCAGCAACCGCACATTGATGTCTCTCTCTCTCTCTCTTTCTCCCTCCCTTCCCTCTCTAAAAATAAATAAATAAATTCTTTAAAAAAAATCAACAAGGGCTAGAAAAAGTTCAGGTTTGAGAAACACTGACCTGATTTTTAAAAGGGGGGAAAAAAGCCCCCTTTTTACTGAAAAAAGGCTCAGAGTCACAGGGGGAAGGGGATGCCTTCTAGGCCAATGCTCCTTCCATCACTTCAGGCTTCCTCCACCAGGGAGCCCTCCTTGATCTGCTACCTGGTACTCAGGTTCCTGCCCTCAGTAAAGCCTCAGTATAGTGAGTATGGTTTCTGCCCCCAAGGCCTGATGCATAGTAGGGCTTCCCTTGAGCATGTCCCAGACCAGAAGATGGTCCCAGGGGGAAGGACTTGCTCCAGGCTTCTGAAGGGAGAAGAACCAAGTTCCTGATGCTCATGAGGCCCAGAGAGCATGCCCCCAGGCCCCTGCACAGAGCTGCCCTCCACAGCCACCCCAGCCCCAGAGCCTCCACCCTGCGAGGGACCAGGCAGGGATCTCTGGCCCCACTTGACTGAAGGGTAGACTGAGGCCCAGAGAGGTCCAGGGCCACACACTGAGGGGGACTGAGCCAGAACTGGCACCTGGGCCCGGTGGCCCTCAGCCCCACTTCGTCTGGCTGAGCTCCAGTCCTGGGGCCGAGTGGGTCGGGGGTCCCAGAAAGCAGGTAGTTACCTTGTTTCCTGAAAATCCCACAAACTCCAGCAACCGTAGGATCCTAGTAGGGAGCATGGACAGCGTCTGCAGGAACAAAGGCAGGCGGGCACAGGGAGGGGCCCAGGTGTGCCCAGTGGGGCTCAGGCCTGTGTCTAATCCTGGGGGTGCAGGCCCTGTGTCTAATCCTGGGGGCTCAGGCCCTGGTCTAATCCTGGGGGTGCAGGCCCTGTGTCTAATCCTGGGGGCTCAGCCCTGGTCTAATCCTGGGGGTGCAGGCCCTGTGTTTGTAATCCTGGGGGCTCAGGCCCTGGTCTAATCCTGGGGGCTCAGCCCTGTGTCTAGTCCTGGAGGCTCGGCCCTGGTCTAATCCTTGGGGTGGAGGCCTGTGTCTAATCCTGGCAGTGCAGGCCCTGTGTTTGTAATCCTGGGGGTGCAGGCCCTGTGTTTGTAATCCTGGGGGTGCAGGCCCTGTGTCTGCAATGCCCCCGGGTTCCCAGGAAAGCCAGCTTCCCCAGATAGGGAAGTGTTACAGCATGACAGGAGCAGACTGCATCCAATTCCTAGTCTCACCACTCCCAGCTGGGTCACCTTGGGCAATACACATCCTCTCTATGCCTCAGTTTCCTCATCTGTAAAATGGGAATAATAAAAGCCCCTACCTCATAAGGGTACTGTGCAGATGGGTCAAATTAATATGTGTAAAGCACATAGCAGGGGGCCTGCATGTAATAATCAGCTGTTGTAATTGTTACATTGGATCCCTACTTGGCACAGGGGCTCTGTCATTGCATTCAATACTTAGAACAGTCCTGCATGGAAGGGACTACTGCCCCTTTTGACAGATGGGGAAACAGAGGCCCAGGTAAGTGACAGGACATGTCCAAGGCCCCAAAGCTCATCAGAGGTGGAGCCAGTCCTTGAACTCAAGGAGAGTTTGGCTATAACCTGCATCCAACACACTTTGCAGTTTGTATTCCTCAGCACCCGGCCTGGACTCACTGCTCCCATTTTACATATAAGGAAACGAACTCAGACCCGGGCAGGGATCCCTGCCCCAAGGCCTGCTCTTGGAACAGGCTTTGCCTGAAGTGGAGAGAACAGCCCTGCCCTGTATTCCCTACCCCCTTACATATATAGACACACACACACACACACACACACACACACACACACACACACACACTTTGGAAAAGTCCCCAGGCCAGGAGGCTGAATTTTCCATGGGCAGCTCCTCCCAGGAGCAGATACGGTTCTTCTGAGTCTCTCTGCTCTACTCACACTGTTCCTTCTGCCCAGTGTGCTCTTCCCTGCCTGGAAAACTTCCCCCACCTATGGGTCATCCGAGATCCAGCTCAAATACCACTCCCTCCAGGAAGAAAGCTTCCCCACCTCTCCCAAAAAGGAGTTTGGCTCTCCAGTCCCCATGGGTCACCAGCTGTTTCCGGGCCTCTCTCCTTCCCCCCGCTAGGCAAAGTCAGCCACCAGGTCCCCAGGGAGCTGATTTATTGTTTTCAGTTTTTGGTGCTCTAAATACTGCCACTGTGGTAGATTTCAAACTTTCAACTTGGCCTGGGAAGGAATGCGCAGCAGGGACTCCAGAGCCAGTGCCAGCACCCACGCCCACCCGCACCCCAGCTGAGCCCCTGAGGCTGCAACATATCTGCTTACTGCGGGGTCCCAGGGTCGGCACAGGGCCCAGCACAGGAGCCCAGCAAAGCACATGTGTGCGGCTGGGGCGTGCAGGGGAGGCTGTTTGAGCCCAGACACTTGGACATGGGGAGGGGCACTCCCACTCACCAGGTTGAAGGCGCCCATGCCGAGCTTCACACCTCCTACGAAGTGCCTGTGGTTCTCTCCCTTGCAGTATTGTGAGGACTGCACGAGGTTGTCCAGCTCCCTGCAGAGGGAAGCAAAGTCACGTAGTGGGGGCTGCGGCTCGTTCCAGCCCAGCCTACGTTGCCCCCATTGCCAGCCGATCTCAGGACTTATGCAGGTTTACACCAGTCCCGGCAATCCAGAAGGCTGATATCCAAGGAGTTTCCAGCCCCATCTCCCACTATAACAGCACACTCCTTGTCCTCAGTGTCCGCTATGTCAGCCATAGTGCACCTGCCTTGGCCAACACCCAGGCACTTGCCTGTGCTCTGCGTTTTGTCTAAAACACTTTCTCAGCCTGGGCACTGCTGGCATCCTAGGCTGCATGACCCTTTGGGGGGGATAGTGCATCACAAGATGTTGGGCAGCATGCCTGACCCCCCTACCCACTAGACGCCGGCTGTGACAACCAAAGTGTCTCATGGGGAGGGGTGCAAAGTCACCCCCAGTGGAGAACCACTGGGCTAGCTCCAGCAGCCCCTCTTTCAGGAAGTCTCCTGGAGTCTCTCCGTTAGAATCCAGCCCTCTTTCCCCTGGCCACCAACTGTACCAAGCCCATGTCCCAGCCTGCCTGGGGCAGGACAGAGGCTCTAGTATGTGCCCGTCATCTTCCCCAGCCTTGAGCACCTGGAGGACCTTTAACCAGCAAACATTGACTGTGGTCTCTCTGTGCCAGACACTGAAGGGCAGCAGGGAGCAAAGCCACCAGGCGGCTGCCCTCACGAGTCTCCCTTCTAGAGGGCAGACCCCTATGGAGTCAACTGTGAAGGTAAGAAAGGCCTTGAAGAAAGACACCGGGGCCTGACCGAGTCTGGGTTCAGGGAAGGCTCCCAGTGGAGCTGACATTTGAGCTGAAAACTGAGGGATGAGGAGGGATGAGCCTGGCACAGAGAGAATGTTCCTGGCAGGGAGGACAACGTGTCCAAAGTCCGTGAGGCAGGAATGAACTTGGCACGTCTGAAGAGCTGAAGGAGTGCCCGAACACCTGAGGCGCAGTGCGGCGGGAGATGTGAGGAGGGCAGCGGGGGGCTCTGGGGAGTGACTTGGCAAGAGGAGCCTCAGGACTTGGCAGAGGGCGACCTGACAAGGTTTGCGCTTTGCAAACATCACGCTGGCAGCCGGTGGGGAGACGGAGGAGGCAGAACGCTTGTCTGGTTTCCCTCTCACATTCCCGGCACAGGCCCACGGGGCGTGTGGTGCCCACATACTGCATGGGTGTTACACCAGCGATACCTTGCAGTCAGACTCAGAATAGCTCTGCAGGGAAACGGTCGCATTAAATGGGGGAAATAGAGATGATAAATAGCCTCAAGTCGATTCAAGTTGACTTTTAATGGAAAACGATTTTTTAATGCCAAATGGGCAGTGGGGGTGAGGGGAGATGTGCTTTCAGAGCTGTTTTCACTTTGGAATGGCAGACATTTGTGGTGCCACGTTAGGTAAAAGTGCTCTGTGTTGAGTCTTCATTCTTTCATCCATAAAATTGGCCTATGCCTTGCCCAGTGCTGGGATGGCACAGAAATGATCTGGCCCTCAGGTAGCTCCCACCTTAGGGGGCACTTGGGGTGTGTGTGGTAACCACCCCTGTGTTCTGGAGACGTCAAGGAAGGCTTCAGGGGGAAAGTGACATTTGGACTGGGCTTTAATGGGTGTGTAGGAGTTCTGCTGCTGTTCTCAAAATTACCGTGTCCTTCCCCCTGCCCCCACCAGCCCAAGCTGTTTGTGCAGAATCTATGTCTTATGTTCTGTGAGTTCAAGGTCAGGCACAGAGTAAGCACTCAGGGGAACCATGAGACACACCCAGGAAAATGAGGGGAATAACATTCCAGAAAACTGAGGTCCTGAGGGTACAGAAAGCTGCCTGAGGTCAGCCAGCGTTCTAGGCTTCCTGCCTCCGGCCGGTGTTCTCCAGCTCCCACAAAGCAGCCCGAGGCACAGGGCAGCAGACGCTGTGCCCCAGGACCCCCAGGCCAGCCCCACTCACTTGTAGGTCTGATAGCTGTTTCGAACTTTGATGCCGCCCTTGATGAAGCTCACCATGTTCTCATCCTGCAGGAGGGAGAGATGCTAAGAGCTGGGCCTGGGTGGGTAGCCAGCAGCTTAAGAAAGATCACACAAGGCTCTGGGCTCTGCCTTCCCCTTCCTGGGTCCAGCTCTTTGAGGGGCCCTGGGGGAATGGGGTCAGAGGTCAGCCAAACCAGGCTCCTTACCCTTGGGACTTGAGATGAGGGTCTTATTTACTAACCGAGACCTCCAAAATGCCCAGCGATTTGACTACAACCCCCCTCACCAGCTTTGCATGTGTATTACGCGCTTGGAGAAAGGCCTCGTGATTCACCCAAGGTTCACAGTGCCTCCTGTGGGTGCAGGGCGGGGTGTGGGAAAGGAAGAGGGATGCCCGGTTTTGGATTGTTTGTGTTTTTCACAAGCTGCTATGTATCACATTTGTAATTTAAAGCACTAGCACCAAGAGCCCACCCAGCAGTTCCACTCCTGAGTTTACACCCAGGAAAAATGATGAACACAGGCTGCAGAAGTCACCTTCAAGAATGTTTACAGCACCGCTGTTCACAGCCGCCAAGACCCAGAAACAACCCAAACACCCTTCAGGAGGAGAATGGATGAACAAGCCGGTATATTCAGAGAAGGATCGCTACACAGCCACATAGGCTGGGTGAAGAAAGCAAGTCCCACACAGATCGAAGCCAACTAAAACATAATATGCTGTTCAGACACGAATCAGAAGATGAAAAAGCTATTTTCCAAAAAATAGGGTGGGGGATGATAAACATAAACTCTAGCTAGGGGTCTCCCTCTGGGGAGGGAGGCAGGGCACAGGGTGGAGAGGGGCCCAGAGGGCGAGGAGACTTGCTAGCAATGTTCTGATCTCAGGGCGGGGGGCGGGGGTGCAGTTCATGAATGTGTGTTTATTTACTGTGTGTAACACTAGAATAAACAAAGAAAATAAAAGGCCGTTCATGATGCAATTATTATAGTGATCCTAATGAAGGATTAGGATCAATCCAATTCTAATCACCAGAGGACCAAAAAGATAGAAAAATAGCAAACAAAGATAAACAGCACCCAACAATAAATTTTATATGTGTTTTTCCACCCTAATGTACATATTTGCATGATGATTATATGTGATCATTCTAACCCAACTTTCTGGTAAAATCCTGAGGTGCTGGTTCTCCTGGTTACCACTGTGTGGTAAGGAGTGTGGGCTCCTCGTGGCCAGACCTGGGTCAAATCCCAGCTCTGCCATTTGCTAACCACGTGACTTTGGGAACATGGCTCCTCCCCTCAGACCCTCCCTTTTGCAGGCCTGTGAGATGAAGATTAAATAATATATGTAGTTGTACATAAACACAAACATGCAGCATGTGTAAGGTATGTAAAAACTACATGCCTGTAATGTATGCACAAAGCCTGGTATGTTGTAGACACTAGAAGTCAACTTATCAGTTGAACAAATCAGTATGAAGCAGGCTTTATGACCATGCCTGTGTCCCACGTGATCCTTACCAGGAAGGCGGCAGTCACGAGCTAGAAGCATATCCTGGTAGCAGATGGGACACGTGTGCTCTGTGTGGAGCGGGTAAAGCCCATGACCTCTGCCACTGAGCCTGGCCAGGGCTGGGAGTGTCGCTTCAACCACAACAGGGCTGATCATGGCAGCTATAGGCCCTTCTGTCTTTGTCATGGTGATCCATCTTCTGAAATCCCCAGGCTGCTTGTACAAGCAGAGGGTTCCTACCTGCAGGAAAGTCAGGGCTGCTCTCTGAAGCAGGCACTCTGCATAGCAGACCTCAGCGTGGATTTCCTCTGTGGGGAGAAAACCAAAGCCCTGTGGCCTCCTGGGACTCTTGGCAGGAGGCTTGGGCTAAATCCTCCCCACCCCCACTTCCCAAAAAAGCAAAGGGAGCCTGAGTCAGTACCCTCCCCATCCTCCACCCCATCTCCCAGGTCAGCTTGTGCAGCACTCACCGCTGTTCTGAATTGGCTTACATTTCCTGCCCCCTTGTCTGCCCCAGTCCCCCCATCCCACCACCCAGAGTGTCAGCACAGGGCCCTCAGCCTGCTCTCTGCTCCCCAAGCATCACTGTATCCGGGCCCCAAGACCCGGACAGTGTTGGATCGGGCAAGGAGAAGGCACTGGGTTGCACAGATGAACAAAGAATCTGTGAGAGTAAAGGAAGGAGACCTAACACAGCCCAGGAGTCAGGGAAGACTTCCAGAAGAAAGGGCATTTGAGTTGAAAAAGGAATGAAAAATGAGGAAGCAATAGCTTTCTAGGAAGAAGCCCAGGAGAGCCAAACAACTGAGATGTTGGGGGACAGCTGAAGCACAGACGGTTGAAATGGGGCGAGGTGAGGAAAGAAAGGGGGTAGGTGCAGAGGACCCTGAATCTGGGGGACAGGGTTGGGGGGAGGACTACAGACTTGGTCCTACAGGCGACAGGGAGCTACAGACGGTATGAAGGAGAGAATAGCACCATCACATGCATTGTTTCTTGCTGGAATCTTCTAGGGCTCTCCAGGTGGGGAAGGACATTTGCCCCTATACTGAAGAGCCCCAAATAGCTCACAGGTGGCTGCTGCTGCTGCTTGCAGAACTGAAGAGGCTGCTCAGGCGCTGGCAGCCCGGACTGTCTCCTCCACTGCTTTCAGTTCCCTCCCCCCATGTGTCAGCCTCTAGACCACATTCCTCTGGGGCACAGGGGTCCATCTCTACTACAGTCAAGCCAGTAAACCTAACTGCACATGCAATGCTGAGCCCCCCTGGCCTGAGGAACCAAGTACATAGGCCTTATGACAGCATTTTCCTTCCTGGATTCCCAGGCGCTTAGCAGGTGATGCTATCAAGGAAGTGAGTCTTGTTTGCTCTCCCATCACCTGAGAGCCACTCCTCAAAAGGCCCCAGGTTTGGCCCACGTGTGTCCCAGCCAGGGCCCTGCCCCCTCAGTGGGACTGGGAAGATAACTGCCCCTTCCTGCCCCTCTCAGGCCTGGAACTGGGCTGCCTGGGGCAGGCAGGATTGAGAAGACATCTGGATGAGGCCACACCTTCGGTGAACTGATCCATAGTGGGGCGGTGCACCAGGCTGCTGAAGGAGTCTGTTACAGAGGACTTCTTCCGGTGCCTAGAGAGGGAAAGGGGGCCTCTGATCATTCAGGGACGTGAGTGAGGGTCCCAGCTGGGCTCTGACCACATCTGCCCCTCCCATAGGATGCCCCCCACCCAGTCCCACACTGAACTCCTGGCAACTCCCCCAAATCCATGGCTTTCTCACACTGGTGTCCCTGCTCTTCCCTCTGCTTGGAGCTCCCCCATCCCTGCACTGCTCCTAGTCATCCTTCAACCAGCTCTGGCATCACCTCCTCCAAAAAGCCTTTCCTGCTCCTCCACAACCCCTTGGGCACCATGCTGGGATGTCACTGTTTATGACTGTCTTCCCACCAGGCAGCGTGAGCGTCAGGCAGCCCAGGTCTGACGATTCCCTAGGTGGCCAGCACCCAGCACAGGGCCTAGCCTAGGGCAAGCACGAGTGTGTGCCTGCTGAATGATGGCCACATGCAGGGTCTGTCGGTTCACTGATTTAAGCAGTTAGCATATACTGAACACCTGTCACACGCCAGGGGCTGCCATGACACTTTCCTGCAGCCCCAGGGCAACCCTATCATCACACCCATTTTACAGACAGGGAAAGCCAGGTCCCCAGAGGGACCCACCCAAGGCCAAAGAGTTATCAAGGGACAGCCAGGTTTGGTCTCCTCCCAAACATGCCTGGCCCCCGGGAGCTGCTCAGTGAGTGGCTCAGACAAGAAGGGTCCTGAGGCAGCGCTGACAGGGACAGGTGTTAGCACTTGGGGACACATCCTTTTAGCCGAAAGGAGCAGCATTCATCACAGCACTTTCAGCGCTGGGATAGGCCAGCGTGACAGAAGGATGGGCCTCACGACCCCTCAGCCCTGCCTGCCCTGTGGCCTGACCTCTGACATAGCAACTGCGCCTCCTTCATCATGTTGCCAGCAAGCAGGATGTCCTGAGGGTCAAAGGTCATCATGGCCTGCATCTCCAGGATGGTGGCATACGTCAGCGAGTGGTACATGCTCTCCTTGGTCCTGCCAGAGAGAGAGGACATGAGAGTTCCAACTCCTAAGACTCCAGAGACAGCCAGCCCTGTGCCAACCAGCCACCACCCCCTCTCCCATCTGCATGGGGGCCAAGGAGAGGAAGAGGCTTGCCCAAGGTCTAAAGACCTCAGATCCCAGCTGAGGAGCTTTAAGTGACTTAAAGCCAAATCTGAGCCTCAGTTTCTCTTCCGTTCCGTACAGAGAGCAGCAACAAGGCTGCTGTGAAGGTTCAATTAAAATTGGCCCGAGGCCACACTTCCCTTCCTTCAGCCAGGGCTGGCCCCTCGCCTTCTACCCTGCCCCCCACAGGCGGAGCCCAGGTCCTGTCGGTGGGATCTCTCCGGGCAAGTTTCCTGGGCCTCCTCACTGGCTTCCCGCCTCCTGCCTCTTCCCATTCCACCATCTAGATGACCGTGTCTCTCCCTGGTTAAACCCTCTGTAGCTCCCACATCCCGTGAGGTAATGCTCGGGTCCAAGGCTCCATGCAGTGCAGGGCCTGCCCACCTCCCCAGCCCAGCCCTCTTGTCGCTTCCGCTCTGTGATCTGGTCACATTCAAGGCTGAACCACACATGCTCTCCTCAAGAAAATCCCACGGTCTCCCTCCTTCCAGGCCTTTACGCATGCTGGTCCCTCAGCTTGAGATACCCTTCCCCTACCCTCATGTCCCCTGACTGTCAAGGCCTTTAAATGCCTCCCAGGCCCCTGGGAACCCAGGGCTCACCCCTCAGGAGGCAGGCGTCTCTGACCACAGCAAGGCCCCCACTGGACCTACATCAGCAGAAGCACAGCTCTTTCCCCAGACCTCGGGCACCTCAAGGACAGAGCTTGTATGGGACACATCTCTGTCCTCAGCACCATGTACGGGACCAACGAGCCTACCTCAGGCAGCCGGCCTTGCCCTCCAGCCCTCAACAAAAGGGTGTGCTGGGGCTGGGGTAGGGGGTGGGGACAGTCACTCTAACAAATGGAGAGAGCTGCAGGGAGGGGGAGGGATGAGGACAAAGCCAGTCCCTCTTTGTACTCGGGGAAGTCAGAGTGTGGCTGGGCCTTGATTTATGCTTCTGCAAAATGGGGGTGATGATGCTGACCTACCCAGCTCCTTGTGGCGCTGGTTGGGGAGTACCCTTGCCTGGCACACAGCAGGTGCTGCAAGTGGTTTCACTCCCTTCCCCACATCCCCTCATTAATTAGTTAGAAACTCCTAAGTGCTAGGCTTACATTGGGAATTTCAGAGCAAAAGGATGACTAAGGTTTATAGACTGTTCTATTGTACAATCATAATCATGTGACTTTATGCATTTTCCTGCTTTTCTCATTCACAAAACACCTCTGTAAATTGTTGCTTTTATTTATTTATTTTTTTTTACTTCTGAGTGGCCCTCAGGTGACATCATCCTTGGAAGTCAAAGGTTTGGGAAAGAGACAAATGGCTGGTCCACCCCTCACCAGCCCCATTGGGACACCTCCCAGATCTCTGCTGGAACCGTTCGATCTGAGAGCAGCGGCCTGTGGCAAGGAGTCCACAGCCCATGGTGGGGGCAGAGCTCAGGCTGCAGAGTCCCTCAGACGCAGGTTGGAATCTCGGCCTTGCTAGTTACCAGCTGTGTGGTTCTGGTGAGTCTCGCAGCCTTTCTGAGCCTCAAGTTTCTCCTCTGTAAAAGGGATACAATAATCCTTCTCTTCCAGACCTTGGGGGCTTAAATAGGATGCCACATGGTCAATGATCAATAAATGTGAGTCCCTCCGTGTCCAGCCAGGGTCAAGAGTTATTACCCCGGTGAAAGCTTTCTCCACGGGGAGGGGGCTCTCCCCCAGCACACAGACCCATGCCCACTCCTGACAACCCCCTCCCGCCAGGCCTCTCTAATTCTCAAGCCCCTGCCTTTCTCTTCCTCTCTCCCCTAACCCCCACCCCAGCACACCAGCTCCACCCACTCAACCCACGTGCTGAGCCCAGTCTGGTGCTGGGCCCACAAGGAGGAACAACACCCTCCCCCCATCCCAGGGAAGCTGGCAGGCAAAGTGGAATTTCCAGTCTGAGGCCCAAGGCCACAGCATGCTCCTGGCCCTTCCCCAGCCCACCACCTGGAAGCTCCCCAACTATGGAACGGACTGGGATTCGGGATACAGAGGCATCACAACCTCCCTGACCTCAAACACTCCCAGTGCTGTTTGCACTCCACAGACTTCTCGTTTGCACACACAGCGTCCAGACCCCTGGGAGCAACAGCCCTCTCACCTCTGAGCTAGACCAGCTATGGGACATGATGCCCACTAGGGTCTCACCTTCTGGGCTCAGACTGACTATGAAGATGGGGAGGGCACTGAAAGAGCCCTCAGAAGAGCTGGTGTGGAACCAGGGACTCCATGGCCACCTGGAGGTCAGCTAAGTCCAGAGGCCCCCAGCCCTTCCCTCCTCCACCAGTAGCCAAGGCTCAGGCCCTTGTCATCTACTTGTTTGCCATCCTTGTCCCCATCATCTGGGTCTCCTGGCTCTGACCCAACCCCCAATGATCCTTCCTGGGGCACCCCCTCAGTCCCAGCCTAAGGTCCCACTTCCGAGGGCCTCTCTGGGCAGGCTGCACTAGACTGAAAGGCAGAAACAGCACCCAACCCGCCTCCCAAGCCTTTTTATTTACTTCACTATAGTTAAAGCCCTTCCATCGCACGTCTGGGTCCTCTCAGACCCCACCTCACTGCCCTCTTCTCCAGCCCGACCACCTTCTGGGGACTCGTACTCCCAGCCCCGCTTCCGTCACCCAGCCCTCCCCTTCCGGGACCTGCTCCAGCTCTCCTCACTCCAACCAGGCCAGCGTCTCTGCTCCTTGAATACACGAGACCCCCCTCCATCACTGTAAGGCCCTTGCACAGAGTTTGCTCTGCCTAGAAATACCCTCCACCCGACTGACTCCTCATCCAGCCCATCTCAACCTCAGTGTCACTTCCTCCAGGAAGACGTCAGGCTGGCTTCATGGTGGGATCTGTGCAGTGGCACTGGGACTCATGCCTAAAAAGGCCCAATGCTCGCTTGGTTTGATTCTCTGCTATTGCTGCCTTGAAATCCTTAATAATTTTTGAACAGGACCCCATATTTTCATCTTTCAGTGCACCCCAGAAATTATGTGGCCAGTCCTACAGCCCTCCTGGCCAGCCCCTCCCCGTGAGTTTGGGGTCCAGGTATAACTCCCAACACCCCTCATTACTTGTTTCACTGAGAACAGCCCAAGCCTTGCTCGGTACCGCAGCCCTAGAACCCAGCACACAGCTGGGCCCATGGGAACACTCATGAGGTTTTGCTGAATGAACCAGGAACAGGTGCCCAAATCACCTCTTCCCATGGATCACACCTTCACCTCATCATCATCCCACAGAATGACTCTGCCTCGGGAGCCCAAACTGATGCCACCTCCCTACCTTCCTGCTTTGGCTCAGAACGCCCCCTGCCCCGCCCCCCCCCTCCAGCCTGTCTTCTCTTCCTGATGTCTCAACTTACTTCTTCATACCAGCCACTCTCTTGTGAAATACTCACTGCTGAGCCTTCCAACCTCCTGCTGCACCCACTTAGGAACCACAGCCACGCAACTGCCCACTTTGTCCCAACCAACCCTGAAGGAAGCCACCAGCTACAGAGGCACACTCTGAGCAGAGGCCACCAACCCCAGCCAGGCCTGTCACACTAAAACTTTTCCCCTCTCCTCCTCACCCCCAACACCAGCCTGCCCCCTCACTCTCAGCAAGGGGCTTTGCCTCTCTCCTCAGGGGAACCCCAGGGCATAGCATGAAAACACTCGGAACTTCCTGCACCTGCACAGGCCTGATCAACCTCCTTCCCTCCCTCCTGGTGGAGGAGGCAGGTGCGAGTCCTCCCGCCCAAAGTAAACTCCTCCACCTGCTCGAGCTCTGAGACAGCCCCAGAGGCTGTGGGCTGTGGAGCTGGGTGGGCCTGGACTTGAATCCTGGCTGTGCAACTTGTCAGCTGGGATTATTTTTTCATCAAGAAGACCAGAATGGAGTAGCTACCATGTTCCAGAGACAGTGTTCAGGGACAGACACAGCGTCAATCAAAATGAACTTGAAACAAAGACAACACTACTCAACAAGTGACAGACTGAAGCAGGGGGGCAAGCAGGAGCTCTCTGAAGGCAAAAGAACAGTAACATCCCCCACTGCCTGGGGTTAGGACAATGAAAGGAGACACTTTGTACACAATGAGGAACAGTGAAGGGAACGGAACACCAACATCTTTCCAAGCTTTAAAGGCTGTGACTGCGGAGGGGAGGCCGTTTTGAGCCAGAATTGTTTTCTGGAGACCAGTGGTTCTCACCTGAGGTGGAGAGATATTTTTGCCGCCCCCAGACATTTGGCAATATCTGGAAACATTTTTTGTTTGTCACAAGGGGCATGAGGAGTGTGCTACTGACATCTACTGTTTAGGGGGAAACTCTTAAATTCAGAAAGAAAGTAAAGGTCCTTTTCTAGAATGAGGATAAAGAGAAGCTACGCTACCTTCCATGTGTGGTAAAAGGTGGCCTCATGTGCAGACTGTCTCTGTGGTGCCACCTTTAGGAAGAGGGGATGTGAGGTGGCCCCTCATTGAGGAGGGGCTGCAGGGGGGTCACTTAGGGATTCTGTGGTGGGTACAGCTTGAGGGACTGGGTGCAGCATGATATCTGGTTTAAACAGTTTCCTCTGGGCCTGGGCCCTGCCTCCCTTCTGTTAGCCCCATGTCTGCAGGACAGTTTAGAGTTAGACCAAGGGATGGCCCAGTCTTAGCTGGGCTTTAGGGGATAAGGAGACAGGCCAGTGTCTGGGCTTGGCGTGTGGGTAGGGCAGGCGGAGCAGCTGTACGCTGGGCATCCTGGCCAGTGAGGGAAGGCAGCCACAGTCTGGGGGTCAGGGCTGAGTAAGGGACAGGTAATGACCAGGATGGAAATGGAGTCAGGAGTCTTCCGAAAACACTGGAAGGGGACACTGGATGTTCGGGGACAGAGCAGGAAGAGGCTTGGCCTGCCTCAGATGATGGCCGCACTCTGGCCGTAGACCTCTGCTTGCCCTGCTCTGCCCACCTCAGGCCCAGGTCCCCTCAGAGGGTGGGGGTGAGGTGTGGGGGCTGCGGTTGGAGCCCTGTTGTAAGACACATGGTGACCGTCATTCCTTGGGACCCCTGCCCCCCAGGAGCTGAGCCACTGACCCTGTCAGAACAATGAATGGTTCAGTCAAGACTAAACAAATTGAACAGATCAGGCTTGGGGACTTGGGGGAGGAGGACCCCTGCCCTCATTCTTTGCTTTTCCTGGGAGCTTGGGGAACCAGGTGTGGCAGAGGACAACCTAGAGCTGAAGGGAGTGGATTAAGGGTAAGCAGACCATAGACAGGATTAGACCCCGCCCCCACCACCCCCACCCCAACCCAGAGTGCAAGGGAGGGGGGTGGCTCCCTGTCCAGCCTGAGGAATGGAGGACTCTTCTCTGGAGAAGCTGACATCTGAGGCCAGATCATTCTGAAGTTGATGCCACCAGTTACAAGGCTGCCTGGCTTGGACTTTCCAGCTGGCCCTTTAAGAAACCCGCTCCTAAATATGACCATGCAAACAGCCAGGCAACAGCAGGCATTACAGAAAGACCCCACGAGTAGAGGGTTCCCTCATTAAACAGAATAGGGAACCTGGGGATGGCTGAGATTATGCAGGAAAAGAATAAAACGTGTTTAAAAGAGGCAATACTCTGTGGTAATAATAACAATAAATGCTTATTCAAGTGCTTGCTCTGTGCCAGACCCTGTGCTAAGGACTCTCACGTTCCAAATACAATATAAAGAACTGAGAATATTTAGACAATGGAACAGAACAGAGAGCCCAGAAATAAGCCCAAGTCTCTATAGCCAATTAATATTTGACAAAGGGAGCAGCAACATAAAATAGAGTAAAAACAGTCTCTTCAACAAATGGTGTTGGGAGAACTGGAAAGCTAGCTACGTGCAAAAAAATGAAACTCGAGCACCAACTTACATCATACACAAAAATAAATTCAAGGTGGATAAAAGGCTTAAATACAAGCCATGTCACCATTAAAGTCCTAGAGGAGAACATAGGCAGGAAAATCTCAGATATTTCAAGCAGCAACATTTTTACTGATATGGCCCCCAGAGCAAGGGACATAAAGGAAAGAATAAACAAATGGGATCTCATCAAAATAAAAAGCTTCTGCACAGCTAAAGAAAACAGTATTAAAATAAAAAGAGAACCAACTGTATGGGAAAACATATTTGCCAATGATACCTCAGGCAAGGATTTAATCTCCAAAATATATAAAGAACTTACATGACTCCATGCTAAGAAGACAAGCAACCCAATTAAAAAATAGGCAAAGGACTTGAACAGACACTTCTCCAAGGAGGACATACAGAGGATCCAGAGACACATGAAAAGATGCTCAATATCACTAGCCATCAGAGAGATGCAAATTAAAACCACAATGAGATACCACTTCACACCAGTCAGAATGGCCATCATAAACAAAGCAACGAACAACAAGTGTTGGAGAGGTTGTGGAGAAAATGGGACCCTAGTGTACTGTTGGTGGGATTGCAGACTGGTACCACTATGGAAAAGAGTATGGAATTTCCTCAAAAAACTAAAAATGGATCTGCCTTTTGACCCAGCAATTCCACTGCTAGGATTATATCCTAAGAACCCTGAAATACCAATCCAAAAGAACCTATGCACCCTAATGTTCATAGCAACACAATTTACAATAGCCAAGTGTTGGAAGTAACCTAGGTGCCCATCAGTAAATGGATCAAAAAACTATGGTACATTTACACAATGGAATTCTATGCAGCAGAAAGAAAGAAGAAGCTCCTACCCTTCACAACAACATGGATGCAACTGGAAAGCATTATGCTAAGCAAAACAAGCCAGGTGGTGAAAGACAAATACCATATGATCTCACCTTTAACAGGAACCTAAAGAACAAAACAAAGAAACAAGCAAAATATAAATAAGGACACTGAAATAGAGAACAGTCTGACAGTGTTCAGAGGAGAGAGGAGAGGGAATTTCAGGGGAATTTCAGGGGAAAAGGAAAAGAGTTTATAGGAAGAAGTATAAAGGACACATGGATAAAAACTAGGGGCAGGTGGAAATGGGAGGGAGGAGGAAAGGGCTGGGTGGGTGGGTTGGGATGGGAGTAAAAGATAGAAAATTGTACTGCAACAACAATTAAAATAAAAAATATTTTTTAAAAAGAACTGAGAATGTTTAGAGAACAATTAGTAGGAAATTAATCATATGTGCTAATTACAAGAATAAAGAAAAGTCAGTAGAAGGATTTAATGATAAGATCAAGGAGATCTCCCGGAAATCAGAAAAAAAAAAGAAAAAGATAAAAAATTTTGAATTGGGAGCAGTGGGTGATAAGAGGCTTAGAAGAGGGCTGATCCAGGAAGTCTAACATCTGACTTTAAAAAAGCTCAGGGAGGGGAAACAAAACATGGAGGGATGATACAAGAGAATTTCCTAGAACTGAAACAGTCTCAAATTAAATGTACCAAATAAAAAGGACTACAGCCCTGGCTGGTGTGGCTCAGTGGACTGAGTGCTGGCCTGTGAACCAAAAAGTTGCTGGTTCAATTCCCAGTCAAGGCACATGCCTGGGGCCAGGTCCCCAACTGGGGGCATGCGAGAGGCAACTGATAATGTATCTCTCACACATTGACGTTTCTCTCTTTCTCTTTCCTTTCCCCTCTCTCTAAGAATAAATGAATAAAATGTTTTAAAAAAAACAAAACCAAAAAACTACATTCCAGCATGTTATGATGAAGTTTAGGACATGCAGAAATTAAAGAGAAGAGCTTAAGCTCTCCTGGAGGAATAAAGGTCACATGCAAAGTGAGAAGAATTAGGGTCTCACGGCTATAGTAGAGACTAGAAAACAAGGCGCAATACCTTCAAAATTCTGATGAGAAAGAATTATATTGATGCAACAATTTCTAGAGGACATGCTCTGGTAAAATGAGGGAGGATACAGGAGAGAGAAAAAGCTGGGGGGAGTTCTGGGAGACACGTCTGTCCTCCGGGGGACAGGTTTCCAGGCCAAGGAGGAACTGAGTGCCCACCTGACACGTCTGAGCATTTAGGGAAGCGCTCACAATAGTAGGGTCTGACGGAGTGGTTATAAAGAGTTCAAGGAAAATGTATAATAAATTAGGCAAGTGAAAAAAAATGAGACAATTACTAACTCTGGAAAGGAAATGTAGTCTTACAATGTACAACTTGTCTCTGTGGTGAGCATTAACTACATAGTTATAATAATGTAAACATTTATTGTTGATTTAGCCGAATATTGTGATATAATGATAAGAGGGAGGTGAGAGAAGGGAGATGGGGCAGAGGTCCGGGAAAGCTAACTTCTTGTTTGCCAATAGATGATGTCTGAAAGTAGAAAGCAACAGAGTGAATTTCATGGTATCTGAGTTTTATGTCAATTTCAGTTTCTGAAAAACTGCAAAAAGAGCAGTATAAACATATCATTTAGAAGTAAGGCAGTAAACCCTAGAAGAATTAGCTGAATGACTCTGATTATCACTCAAAAAGGCAGCCTTAGTCTTTAGCACTTTGGGAGAAAACAAAGGAAGCGGGCTGTGTTAACTGATGGGGCAGAAGCCCCTGGTGGGTTCGGTGGGAACAGGAAATCAAAGCAGAAGAGGCCTGAAGAAGCCAAGAGGAAGGAAGTCACAGTGACCTTGGGGAGGGCCTGGCTGCTCACAGTTGTGGAACGAGGAGGGTGAGCTGTGTTTCTGGGACTCCCAGGGGTCACTATGACCCAGCAGGCTGAAGGCATTCAGTTACTAGGGGCCCTTTCACAGAGACCTCTGGTTCTCCATGACACCACAACCCCCCATCCCTACACTCACATGTGGGCTCCCAGAAATGCACACACAGGCACACCTCTTACCCCCAACCTGGGCTTGAGACCCACCTGGGCTTGAGGTAGCTGAGTGCTTCTGAGAATTGGTTGGTGAGAAAGAGGTCCAGGGCGATCATGCACTGGTCCAGGGCCTCATGTAGGCTGCTCACAGCAGTCCTGAGGAGAGAGACATGGGTGTGATTCTGGCGACTTCAACCCCACTCCTGGCTGGAACAGCCTCTCCAGGGCCCACCCGACCTCCTCGGTGGGCCTTGGATGCCTGTCACGAGCTCCTCCAGGCTGCCCTTTGGCACACAAGGACAATTTGGACCCACTGCTGAACGTCCCTAAAGGCGGGAGGAGAGCAGAATGGAGTGACATCTGAGATCTGGTGGAGGGGGCTGAGGGGGCTGAGGGGGCCAAGGACAGCGGGGCAAGGAGGACAGAGATTTCTCTTACCCCTCACAAGTGTAAAGGGAATCTTTGTGGCCCTTCTGACCCATTGGGCTTTTCTGTGCCCCCCTGGGGGGCACAGCCCACCCACTAAATTCCACTTCAGGCCTTTTCTTGCTCCTCCCCTAGGCCTTCTCTGGCCTGCCTCAGGCCCGTGCTCTAGAACCCCGGAGGCTCTGTCACAATGGGCTGCGGTGGGCACCGGCCTGTGAGGGCTGCCCGGCCTTCCGCGCTCAAGGCTCACCTTCCCAGCAGCACCTCCAACATCTTCCAGGCCTTACTCTTCTCTGCAGCTCTTACCACTTCTGACACATAGTTTTTACTTATTTTTGTCTTTATTTTGTTTATAGTCTCTCTCTCTCTGCTGAAGTATATGCTTCCTGAGGGCAAGAATCTTTGTTTTGTTTCCTGCCATATCCCCAGCATCTAGTATCTGGTATAAAATGAGTTTCTGATAAATATCTGCTGAGTGAATGAATGAATGAATGAATGAATGAGAGTCTAAGGCTAAGAGAGCAAATCTCTGACTTTTCTGGGCCTCAGCTTCCCCATTTGAAAATGAGAGATGAAACTAAGTCCTCTCTGATGATTTTGAGACTCTCTCTTCTCAAGAGGTCTCTTTAGAGGGAGAGAAGCTTCCAAAATGGGTCTCCATGATCTTGCCGAAGGAGATCCTTTCCCCCCACAATGAAGACAAAGCCCCTTCTCCACCAGGTAAACTCCTACACGCACTTTAAGGCCCGACTCTGGGGCCCAGTGTCCTCCTCTGTGATACATCAGCAGAGCTTCCCAGGCAAACTGAAACTTGTCCCGTTCAAAAATGAACTCTTGTTTGTTCTCCCAAACCTGTCCTCCCCAAGTCTTTGATAAGTGACACCCCCCCTACCCAGCTCCTCAAGCCCGAAATTTCATAGTCATCCTGAACACAGTCCTCTGCTGGGCCTCTGTCGTGGAATCCATCCCTAAGCCCTGTCGGTTCTCCCTCCTGAACATCTCCCAGCCCGACGCCTGCAGTGGCCGGTGGCCCCAGCGCCGGGTCTGATGGACGACTCCCCCTTCCACGCCCAGCCCCTCCCACCCCTTCTGTCTCTCTCTGTTAGACCATTGCGTTCTGTGTTTCCTGTCTCTTCACTCTCTTCTTTGCTTCCTGTTTGACTCTCTCTGCTAGAGTCTGAGTGATTTCTTTAGAGCTTCCGTTTCACTAATTCTCTTCTATTCAATAGTTGTATTTTTCATCTCCAGAAACTCCACTTTGTTCTTTTTCAAATCTGCTTGACCATTTTGGGTGGTATTTTCTTCCCTGCTTATTGTTTCAAGTACATCTTTTATATTTTTTATACATTTAAAGCACAATTATTTATATTCTATAATATCATAAGTCTAGCATGTTAGACTCTCAGAGAAACTAATCCTGCTACTTCTTGCTCCCAGTGCCTGTCGCTCACAGGAACCCGTGTCCTTGTGTGTCTTGTACTTTCACCACAATCTCCTACTTGATCGGTCGCCTTGGGATGAGGCCATGTTCCTCCAGGGAGGATGGTCATGTGCTCCGCCAGGTACCCTGGGGCACTGCCACCCTGAGACCACGCCAGTTACTTTTCTGTTTAGTACATTCAAGATGACAAAGATAGTGTGGTATTGAACCCCAAAATTTGTGTGAGGGCAATATAATTTTCTATGGAACCTTTCTGTCCCCACCAGAACTGTCGTCTCCCATTGCAGGTGGCTGGATGCTTTGTTCTGGTCAATGTTCCTGTTGGCTGAAGACTTTTGAAGGTCCCAGATTCATGTGGTGGGGGTGCAGCCCCCTCCACACTGTGGCTGCAGGCCCAGGACCTTATTTCCCTCCCCCTGAGTGGCTGTTAAAACTCAAGGTTCTGGGTTTATAAACACCCCCAGGTTGCTGTGGCTACATCCCATTCAGCAGCCTAATCTCAGCTCTCTCTTTATTGTTGGTTTGAGAGGATTTCTGTTACTTCTGTGGAAGCTCAGGAATGTATTTCAAAGGATGCTTGTTTTAATTCATCCAGCCTCTAGGTAGGGTTTTGTTTTGTTTTGGTTTGTTTTGGTTCTGGTTTTTTCGTTTTGTTTTATTTTTAAGGAGAATTTTAGAGCCCTGACTGGTGTGGCTCACTGGATTGAGTACCAGCCTGCAAACTGAAAGGTGGCTGGTTCAATTCCCTGTCAGGGCACATGCCTGGGTTGAGGACCGGGTCCCCAGTTGGGGGTGTGCAAGACACAACTCATTGATGTTTCTCTCACATCAATGATGCTTCTTTCCTTCTCTTTCTCCCTCCCCCTCTCTCAGAAAATAAATAAATAAAATCTTTCTGTAAAAAAAGGAAAATGTTTAGAAGTGTTATTCCCTTTAATCTATCCCTCTCATAATAGTTTTTTAAAAGTTTTTTTTAATCCAAATATAACTATGTCATACTTTTGGACTTGCACTCCTTTACTGCCTTCTCAGTACTCTTAGGATAAAGACCAAGTTCTTTTCTGTGCCCAAAAAGGCCCCACTGGAAGTGGCCCTGTCCCTCTCTTCATGAGACAGGGACAGTGTCTTCCTTCGTGCCCAGGGCTGAGCCTGTTCCATCCACCCGTCTCGGTTGGATGAATGGATGAAGAGGCAGTGGGCACTTATGACCCCAGGTGTTTAACTGGCATTATCTCCTTGAGCCCTCACTAAGCCCCATGAAGTGGGTTATTACCCCCACTGATGATGAGGAGACTAAGGCATAGAGGAGAGGTGACTTGGCCAAGGTCACATGCCCAGTCATGAGTTCCAACTCAAGTTTCTGCCTGAGCCGGTGCCCACCAGCTCAGCCCCAAGGAGTCAAAGTCCATTGTCCTGGCTTATATCCATCTCTACACAGCTCCAGAGCCAAGAGCCTGCCCCCCATGTCTGTGCAACACCCTGCCCCACAACCACCACCATCTCCACCCCCTACCAAGGAAGAGGTTCTACCTGTTTGGAAAACCTGGAGAGGAGGACAGACAGACAGATGGACACACAACACAGACAGGTACTCCCTCCACTGGCGGCCCCAGCACCTCTTCTACTTAACTACAGTGAGGTGGGTCTGAGGTGACCTCTCCCTCCTCCCCGCCCACAAATGCCCCTCATCTCCAGCTCCAGGCCAGGCCTGGGGACACAGAGCAGACCCAGACCCGGACCTGCCTTTCCGGAGCTCATGGGAACGACAGATGCCACAGATTCGGGCAGAGGCTGTGACAGCCAGAGCCCTCATGGGAACACTGGGGACTGAGGAGCCCGGGAAGGGAGGATGGGGCATGCAGGGAAGCTTTCTGGAAAAGATGGCACTGAATTGAGGACCAGATGGAGAAAAGAAGTCTAAGAAGGGAAAAGAGTGTGAGCAAAGGGCTGGAGGCATGACAGCACAGTGAGGAGCAGGCCCAAGCCACAGGGCAGGGCAGGGAGACAGAGGCTCTGGAAGGCCTTCTGGGGGAGGGAGGGGCTGGGGAGCTTGGGAAGGCTAGGGACTTGGGGCCCACTGACTTAACATCAGCATTAACAACTCCTCCATCACCACCATGAAGTTATCACTTCAAGTTATCTAAATTGATGACTAATTAGTTCTCTCAATCCTCCCACCAGCCTGGAGAAGCAAGCAGGCTCTTATCTACATTTGAAAGATAAGAAAGTGAAGACAGGAACCCAGTCTGCTCCTCCCAGGAGCCTGGAAGAAGACAGAAATGCTTTCTGCAAAAGCAGCTTGGGCAAACCTTTCTCCTCTCCCGGCTGACTGAGGTCCCCACTTGTCTACAGGCTTTCCCCAAGGTCTCTCTGCTCCAAACCACCAGGCCATTAAATTCTTGAGCTCCCAAGTGGTGATGGTGGCACCTCCCCTGGGCTTTGGGGAAGCAGAGGATTGGAGGGGGATACTAAGCACATTGGAGCATGAGGCTGGATGGTGACCAATGCCAGGAGCTTTGGCATAGTGGGGGAGGGACACTTGAGGCCAAGGGGAGAAGGGGGCTGGAAGCTGAGGGGGGAGCACCAGACAGCCTGGAGCCACCCCACTCTCTCCTTCCCTCCCACCTCCCTGCTTTAATCTTCCTGGAAGCTGCTACTTTCATGACTGAAGATGGGCAGGGCTGGGGAGAGCTGGGGAGACCCTCAGTCCCCACAGGGGGCAGAAAACTCCCCTTCCCTGTACCCAGTCTGGGTGAGGTGGCTGTGGGACAGTGGAGAAACGGCAAGGATGTTATTCAGGGAGCAGATGGGGGTCTGAGCTGGCTTCCTACTCCCTGCTTCACCATTCCGGAGGCACTTTGGCTCAGAGGGTTAAGACATTATGTCTGCAGGGATCTGGCACTTCCAAAGTGACCTTTCTAAATTGCAAATATGATTGTGACTCTACTTCCAAAGAATCCCCTTTAGCTCTGCATAAAGAAAGTATCATGTGGCAGGGAGTGAGGTGGCATGGCCTAGTGCAACATGGCCTTCAAGAGTTTTGAAAGCAGACAACCCTGGACTCAAGCCACAGCTCACAAAGTACTTGCTGAAGAAACTTGGCAAGATTCTTTAACCTCTATGAGCCTCAGTTTTCCCATCAATGAAATGGGAGATGGGGAACAACCTCCCATTTGCTGTGAAGAACAACTGAGATAATGTTAAAGCACAAGAAGCACTCAGGAAATGTAAGTGATTGTTATTGTTTCTAAGATTACGTATTTCCATCATTTCTCTTATTGAGCAGCTC